CTGATGTAATTTCGATAAAAAGATTGAAATACAGCCCAAACTACATTTGAAAGTGATAAAGTCATATCGGGCCGAGCTGTTACTAACTTGGCATCATTTTGTCTTCTTTCTGTGCTTTGTCCGTCAAGGGTGGCTAATGTGTATTTTGGGACGTGTCTGTTGGGACCAGAGGAGCACAGCAAGAAGGAAGGAGAGGACAAAACTACTCTGTTTTTTCCCACTGTGTACAGATCGGCGAGAAAGATGTAGAATATCAAACAAGATCCCAATGTCGAGGAGGTACTCAGCCATCCGCTCTCCATCCTTGCGTTGCATGATCCTCTGCAAGTGGACTGTACATCTTTGATATGATCATCCTTGTACAAGTGCATCATTTTGACCGATCATTTTTGGACTTTTACAGACACTAATGTTGTGGAACACTAATGCTCTCTTTGAAAAAAAAGACAAATGAAATCTGTCTGATTTTAATGGTTCAAGGGTTGTACAGGAATATTCATGGCTGCATTTCAACTTGTTTACTTTTTCTGTGCCTCTTCACCTTTTGAAATAAGCCAAAGTAGACTGCAGTTGCTTTTGTTCTCGTTGAAATACTTTAAATTAATCTTATTTGATTCCCGATTGATATTTAAATCTCAGCAGTCCGTCCACTTTGCTACACTGAGCTTATCTCCGCAATGTTTTCTTCACATTTTTTTGAGCAGCAAATTTCCCCCTCAAGCAAAACACAAAGAAGGCGTGATGCTGACTGACCTCCTGTTTGTTTCTGTTTACAATGCAGTGAGTAGTGATCTGCTGGATCTGATTCTTGATACCTTCACTTTATCAAAGGCTGAATAATGTACCAAAACTTACCCATTATTTAATTTGTCAGCTCCTGTAAAACCAAATAAGTAGATGCTGATCAGTGTTTAACTGTGCCCACTTTATAGTATTAATTTCCCTGAGGCAGAAAGCTAAAAACACATTAGCTCTTTACACTGGTAGTTATGTCTTAATAGATTCTTCTTTTACGATTGGGCTTGAACTTTAATTTAACATGTTGCTAAAACTAAAGAAAATGAAAACAGGCATCAAGCTTGAAAAAAAAGTGCTTATATAATGCACCTTATGTGCATTTCCTCAATTCTTGCTCATTTGTTTGCTCATAACATTTCTCTCACATGAGGCTTTAATGTCTGCTGTTTTTCTCACATTATTATTTGTATTTTTCTATTATCACCCCGGTTTGATTTTGCCCCATTTTTGCTGGTCTGTTAGTGATCTTTTATGTTTGTTTTTAAACTATGTTAAGTAACTTATTTCACTTGTACAAACATGTTGATATTTATTATCATTGTACATATGTCCTTATTTTTTATATGTGTATATATACACAAATAAAAATAGAGATATACTTGAGGTGTGCGAGTTTGTTTGTTAAAGTGGGGGTTTGCCAATTTTTTCACATCAAGGTCAGTCGCAGGCTGGACTGGGTTGATGATAACAGCTGCACCATGTTTTCTGTTGCTCTGGAGGAGCTTCGTAAGTCTGAGATGTCAGAGATAGCACAGTTATCTTCTCATGGTTATCAGAGCTGTGCTGACCAAGTCATGGGGTGGGGTAGATGGGAAATAGGAAATAGGGTTTAGTGTTTTTGATGGCTCTTACACAGAACCTCAAAGTCAGTGCTTATTGAAGTTTGGTTTTGCATGGAGTTCAACATCGGAGAACTTTGACACAAATCACATCCACATATGCGTCGTGAGTATAGTTGTTGACATGCTTCCTTTGCTTTATGCCTGTTACTGAAGTTTTCTACTCAGGGGTCCACCATGGAACTCAGACTGTAAAGAACTATCAAATTTGCATTTAGTAAATAAAAGTTGGTCTTAGTCTTGTACTACCCCTACATTGCCCCCTGCCGTTCCTGTGCATATTGCATCTTGTGGACGCGTCACGTCAATTTCGGAAAATGTCTAGAGCAGACGCACCAAACGCAGCACATTGGAAGCAGCCATTGATGTGTATATGTATAAATAGGTAAAAGCATAGATCTCCGGCCTTAAAGGTTCAGTGTGTAAGATTTAGGTGAAAGGGATTTTTGGCAGAAATTGAAAATAAAATAATCCTAGTGATGTTTTCACTGGTGTGTTTCATTTAAATTGTATGAATTGTTGTTTTCTTTACCATAGCATGGTCCCTTTATATTTATAAACTTGGAGGGGGGTCCTCTCTGTGGAGGCCGCCATGTCTTTTACTGGCAGCTAAAACCAAAACCATTTGCATTTTCATGACAATTGAATTTCACCACAGGTTCTCTTTCATGTTGGGAAGGGGAGGGTGAGATGAGGAGTATTCAGCTGCAACTTTACCTCAAGATATCACTAAATTCTACTCACTGAACATTTAAAGTCACACATGACAAGTATGCCTATAACTCGCCAATGACTTTTCAACAACAACAGCACCCCCTGCTGCATATCTGTTCTAGATGTATTACTACATCGTGCTAAAACCACATATGAATGACTGGTCAACAACAATGTACAGCGTCATCAAGTGGTTTTGATTTTCTGACCAGTCAAGTAGATGAGTAGTATGTGAAACCCATAAGATGAAAATGATTTCAACAGTTTCAGTCAGTGATTTCCAACCAGGGTTTTTGTACTTCAGGGAAATTAATTTATATTTGTGATGAAAATATGAATAGTAATCCCCATTATTTGTGTTTTGACGTAAGATAATCAAAAATAAAAATGCACAAAACTATGTCAAGTTTATCTTACTAGAGCTTCAGAATAACCAATAAACCTCCAGCTATGATGGCAGATACATCTCTGACAAACCTGCTTCCACTGTCACAATTATCTGTAAGTGTTGAGAATGGTGTCGCAGAGAAACCAGTCAGCAGGCGACCAGATATGTGGAAATTGCTAATGTGTTGGATAGATGGTTTAAATGTCCTCTGTCAGTCATAGTCAGTACAATGTTAAGAAAAAAGAGGAAGGACCAAGAACACTGGCAGCTCCACACATCTCTTGTGTCTTATATAAAAAATATTGTAACAAAAAACACTTGGAAGGGAACTGGGAGGCAAAGGTTTGCCGTTCATGTATGAGTAACTGGGCCAAACTCCTGTTTTTACGTTGACTTTGCATGTAATCACATTGCTTGCAAAAGATTTGCTTCACATTTGGTGTGAATGCAGCATTAGGGCGTGGTCACACATATCATTTCCTGTGTGAGCAAGAGGAGTGAACATTTGCTTCCTGTTGCAAAACAACTTGGCAGCGTGGCTTTGAGTTGAACTTTGGTGAACTCTGACCTGGGATATTTACTTCACATATGCACCTGTGTGACGGTACCTTTGTAAGAAATCCAAACTCACAACCTAAAATGTTTTTATTGTTGTGGCAGCATCATACAGATACAGATTCAGTGTTACTTCACTGGTGAACATCTCAAGCTGTTTCATTTCCCCAGTGAGTACTGCCTGATAACAACAACAACAACAACAGTGGAGCTTCCTTCCCCTGACTCGCACAGCCTCGCCTGGTGTCAACAGAAGAAGTCACATGCTTGATGCGGTCGACAGTCCCAGCTGTGGAGAGAGGCTCGCTGTTGCATCTGATCTCCGTGTAGTCAGCTGCGCCACAGGCTCTCAAACCTCACAAAAGGAGGAACTCTGTGTGAGTGTGTGTCTGTGTGGGTACAAGGTTCACTGAGCTTTTCAACACTTCACCCACCTGTTGGGGCTTATTGATTTTCAGCTGCACAGAGGAGACTGCAAGTGATGTAAACCAGTGCAATACACATCAAAATATGATGTTTTTGATTGAATACATTTACAAGAGGCATTGGCTAGGGGAGTACAGTGGAAGGGCTGCGGTTCAATCCCAGTCTTCCCCATCTGCATGGTGAAGTGTCCTTTGGCAAGTTACCGAAGCCCAAATTGACTGTTATAGAAAATAAAATGCTGCCCATAGATGCAATGGATAAATGGATGTGTGAATGGGTGAATGGCAAAAAACAAACTGTACTGTAATGTGATTCATTTCATTCAGTCATCAATACTAGAAAATGCTATATAAATACAGACCATTTACCATAATAAAGTTCTGCACTTGCACATAAGTCGATGTGAGATCTTTTGACACCATGTGCCCGGGTGTAACCTGAGTTCCTCAGCGAAGGCCCTGCTGCCATTTCACAGCCTCGGCTGAGGAACACAGTGACCAGGCTTCTTCTGTCAGGGCTCCCACTCTTTGGAACAAACTCCCTGAGATCTGTTTGGCAAACTCCTTATCTTCTCAACTAAAGTCACATTTTTATAGGAGTGCTTTCTCAGGACCTGTCATCTAAAATCACTTTTAGCTTTTTATTTGTATGTTTTTATTTACTATTTACAATCTAGCACTGATCTTACTGACTGTTAAATCAATTTATAAAGTTTAATTTTTTGTCCTCTTTTCACATCTGTAACCTTTGTGCTAACATTTTTTCTGATCTAATCTCTAGTCTTATGTTAGTTATTGAAAAATGCTATAATTATCATTATCATTATTATTAGTAGTATATAGCAAATTTTCATGAGCAGGAAGAGGAAGATTGACCAGAGAGAAGGGCAGGAAGCGACGGCAGTGTGGACGACAAACCTCAGGGCAAGACTCCGGCTCGAGTTCAGGTTTTACAAACACGTCTCTGATCTCGAGTCTTTTAAAGAACGATGGTGTTTTAAAAACATATTGTGCGAGGTCATAAATGATCAGCTGTCCTTTCCACACTTTTTGACTGACTGATATATTATATAAACACTAAACCCTGTGGTGTCAAAATGAAAAATGTTGTATGTAAAGTGTTTTTGTAAAAATCAAAAGTCTCTCTCCATCCATCTCTCTCTCTCTTCTCTCTCTCTCTCTCTCTCTCTCCCTCTCTCTCTCATCTGTTTATTTGACCTTTGACTTTAACAGAGCACGCGCTATCCTGTCTTGTCTTCCTATTGGCCAGTTCATATTAAACGAGTTCCGGCCATTGGTCCCGGTCCTTCTCGGAGCCCTGAAATATACGGAAGTTAGTTCCCCTGAGCGATAAAGTTTCACAGTCGTCATCGACGTTTTTAATAACGAGATTATTTTTTTATGGATTCTACACATTTCAAAGAACACTTGATTGCACGCAGAGTGTTTTGAAGTTGAATAAGTGTGCACTAGATAGGCAGAGTTCTCCGCGGAAGGATCCACACTCCGCCGGGCTCGAGCGTGGAGCGAGATTTGAATCGCTCTCTGCGGCTCCTGTTTAAAAGTGTTTTATTTGTAGGAGCATGTGTGGAGACATTAATTAACTTTTTATGACGCACGATAGTTTTTTATAGTTTTTAGCAGCAGACCCTCTATCGTTTATTTTGGATTTTGAAGGTAAGTGTTCTATTTGCTGTCACTTCTTTCTCTTCCACGCCAGTGTTGATGCTGTTAGCTAACGTCTCGTATGAGGCTACTGTTAGCTTAAGTGACTTTTTCTAGTCGGTCAGAAATAGTAACGCCTCCGTCCTTTGTTTACTCTTTGTTAAACTATCGCTGGGCCATTTAGGTCACCGGTCAAACCATGAACACGTTCACTATGAAGCAGACTGATGTTTCCCCCTATGTTAACGATGGTTGTCAGTTATCACCACCCAGCTAAAGATATGGGAACACTACCACCTGTAACGTCACGGATGTTAGCATGGAGTTCAGTTCATGCTAGATGTTGTATTGGAACAATAAATAATGGATTCACATGTGACTGACTGCTCCTCTGTTGTGATCCATCCTAACGTGGTCACTACTGTTGACTCTTGTGCTTCAGCTGCTCTTGAATCCCAAGATCTCTGCAAACTGTGCAGATGGAAACCACAGAGATGAACACAGCTGGCCCAGAAGGGTCTCAGAAGGAGGACATGTTGTCCCCCTCAGAAGAGAACACCCCTCCTGATGTAACAGACACTTCAGGCTCCCTGAATTTCTCCGTGCTCACCCCCCGTCGGTTTGGTATCTCTGTCCAGAGCTTCACCCCAGCAGCCTCATCGGACCGCAAAGGTGAGAGCACCAGTCCTTACTCCATGCTGAACAGCATGGTCCAGAGACTTTCGATTTGGTTTGATTCTGCTGCTGTGCTCAGCCACCACTGGCCTCACAGCAGGCCACAAGAAAAGCTGTAGAAACGCTGTAGGATGTGTATTGTCTTATTTAGTCTATTCAAAACGAAATGTGATCAAATTAAATCAAAGTGCATAGTTGTCATAATTAAACCACATTCAGAGTTGTGACCAAACCAGCACCACTTGTGCATATAATCAGAGTCCAGAGAAGTCAAGGGGGTGTTTATATTTCTCATATATATTGCATTAGGTGAGTCTTACTAAAGTTTCGTTCTTCTCCATCTTGCTTTTAGATAAGTCTCGTCTAGCACAAATAAAGGCAAGGAGGCGTTCCAGCATTGGTGTCCGTGGTTCACCAGAGACAAACTCCCTCATCCGCTTCATGGCACAACAGAGACTGAAGACTCCGACAAACTTACAAACTCCACAGGTAAGAGGCTCAAGTACTAGCTCAGGAGTCAGTGGAGCTAATCTTGCACCCATCTCACACCATATCAGAGTGTCAGCTGTGTGATCAATATTGAAACTGACATATATTGGGGATACTACATATTACAATGTGGGCACTCTAGTACAGAACTTGCTTTCAACAAAAAACGGTCTGTTCTCTACAGCCTCACCAGGGGCCTCATTTATAAAACAGTGCGTAGGATTCATACTAAAAGTGTACGTGCGCAAACTAGCCGAAAATGGCGTACGCAACAAAATATTCAGATTTATAAAACCATGTGCATTGCGCATGCACACCTGAAGAAAGACAGATGGTTGGTGACCACAGCAGTGATATTATTAATAGAGAAAATACACTGATATGCTGCTGCTGAGTAGTGACAGTGAGTGTTGTATCTACTGAACGTATTTTAATCATCCAAAACTGCAGGATTATTAAATTCAGAGACAGCTGTGATATCCCCTATCTATACAATTCAACAGAATTATATATTTAAAATGATTAAAAGAGGCTCTACATAGAAGGGTAAATATTCTACAGTGTTAATCATATCATACACAGACCTGTCCGCTAATAAACCAGAGTGGTAAGTACTTGTGTTTGTACTGGGATGATTCGGTTCTGCCGGGTTGGTCTGTGTAATACTGGACTCAGTTCAGCGCAAAGATCACAGATCACAGATCTATAGAATCTATAGCTGATTAGTTATAGTCATGGGACCAAAAATCTTTGTGATCGCACTTGTTCCCCCGCATCCTAAGTTGTTTTATATCTTTTTCAATTAAAGGTTGTTATGGAACAGTTATGTAGCGCGGGCACAAATAACACTGTTGGTTTTAATATTAATGATGAAGTGGACAAATAATCTGGCTTCAGTTCACCACCTCACGTCTGCATCCTCATTTTCCTGTCTCAAAAATGTTCACAAGCATGGGTCACAGTTAGCGTACAAGTGCGCACATTCTCCCGTCAAGTTTGTTTTTAAAGATCCCAACGTTTACGTTTCAAGTTGCTTACGGATCTTTCAGGCCCCGTTTTTTGCATACGGTTATAAATGAGGTCCAAGGTGATCACAGATGCGTTAATATCAGATCAGCCAACTGAATCAACACCATTTTTGTTTGCATTGGCACACAGTGAGGTATTCAAATTCTTAAATCCTATTCAACGTAATAATGAATAAATATTGACAATCAAACATGCACTGGTTACCTGTCTGTCTGCTATGCATTTTTGATAGAAATATATAAAAAGACAAATTTAAAACAAACCCCCTATAAAGACATAATATAGTCCTTCACACCAGCTTAAATAAAATTCTCAGCATTAGTGCACTGTCCATTCAAAATGTGGTTGTTATAGTAATAATTTTTCAATCTATTATTCAATCGTCTAATTTCCACTGCACTGCTGTGTTATGAAATTGATAATTGACCCTATTTGTCAGAGACCTTTGTCAGAAAATACTGGACCACTTATTCAAATAAATTGCTGACACATACTGTAGAGTCACTAATCAAGTCATTAAGTACATCTAGATGAAATTAATACAAGTGGCCTGCAATAAATACTACATTCATGAGGATTTTAATGTTCAGGTTTTATGGAGAAATTAGGGACAACTCTCAATATAACCCTGAAAATGACTATTGCAATTAAAAACACCTCATTAAAATCTGATCATTATAATCCTCATAAAACAAGGCTTTATTTCATCTTTGACAAAATATGCAGTTAAAAAATACACTGGAAAATATATTTTTGCATCAGCAAAAATATTTGAAATGGTTGTCAGGTTGTAAAATTGTCTGGAATGTTAATTTAAACCATTTTCTTACTCATATGTGGTCACAACGAGGAAACATGTTACCATGACAGCAGCGGTGCAAAAATGACCTGTTCCATGAACCACATTGTGAACAAAGTCTGTTCTCATGATCGACTGTGGCTTTAACATTTCTGTTTACTATTACTGTTTTTGTCACTGTGGGGATCCATCAAATGTTTTCATATCAGTCGATATCAATGATTATCTTTATCAAAAATGTCACATTATTTATTTTAAGTTTGAAAAGACTAATTATTTCTCATGAGTGAAGGTTGTGGGTTCTCTTCACATTTTTTTATGAGAAAGACACTTGCCAAACAGCACAACATTTTACAAGTCTGAGGCAGATCGGTTGTGTTATACTTTCTTAGTGTGCTTACACAATGCATAAATATTATGTTTATATATTTTGGATTCTTTTCCTCACTAAGGTCGAAGTACAAGAATGTGTGTGTGTGCGCGCTATTAATGTCCAATACTAATGTGAGACATAAACATGTTGTCTTCCACAAAACAAGCCTTGACAAGATAAGTGTGAAGAGAAAGGTCACACAGTGTGAAGTGTAACACTTTGAAACCTTGTTTCCTCTGCCATGTCGAATTCATGAACGCTGAAGTGAATGGAAAGTAACAGAGAGTAGAGAACTCAAAGTGTTTCCTTATTTACCAATATTTGATTATCACACTCACCCTGAAGGTCTGAGGGGTTGCTATCACAAGTTATTTGTTTGCATGTCAGCAGAGAGGAGTCACAATAAATCCAATAGTAACCAGGCCTTTGGCATAAAAAGCATAATAACAGCTTTTTAAACCACTTCTGCACCCAAATCCTTCTCTGTTGTCCTTCGTTATTCTTAGTTTGCTCCAAACCATAAACTGTAGTTGTTTAAGATGTCTTTAGCTGCACTAGGGCGAGACAACATCTGAGTTTTTTTTTTCTGATGTTGTTGCTTTGTTAAAACATATTGTTTATACGCAGTAGCCTGGCAATCTATATTTTGATTTAAGATCTCTTGAGACACAATACTCTCAGATAGTGTTGTCAAAACATGGCGGAAGGAGTGGCTGGCAGTTGGGGGCTGTAATAGAAGGAGAACTGCCATAGCCCTAAAAAATGCTAACATGCACTTTTTCCAAATTGCGTGCGTTAAACAAACGCTGATATTTTGAGGTCGAAGTTGTCAACCATTGATAAGTAATGAAAATACT